TTTTTTTTCCTCACTCTTCTCCTGCCAGCTCTTCTGCTTCTCTTCTCACCGCTGGACATTATTGGCCGTGTCTTTTTGGATTACCTTCTCTTCGCTCTTTCCCTTTTTCTGTTTCTGTTCTTCGACTTTTCTCCTTTCCGAACTGTCCGCCCTTGCCCGCGCTCTGCCCTGCGCAGTTAACAATCTCCATGACTCTCCCATTATCTTGCTCTCCAACGACCGTTTGATTGGTCCTTAAAAGAGAAGAGATAACGGGCTGATTAACGCGCCGAATATAATCTCGTTTTCTTCATCGTATCCTGCCTTCCAGTGCTTCGTGTGCGCGTGTGGTACAGGGACCTTGGGTATCTGGGCAAACATGCGACCGCCTCGCTTGATATTTCTCCTTTTCTGTCTCATCTTCTTGCCCATCTTTTATACGTTCATTTCCGCTCTTTTTTCTTCGCCCCGTGTAACCAACCCTAATGCGTTCGCTGGCCGATCGTCGGGGTTGCACGCTTTCTTCTCGTTCAATCTCCCCTCTTCGCTTTTTCCTCCGTCCGCTATTATCAGTCTTACTGATGACAACTCGACCTTCTTCCTGGCCAGACCTGCAGCGTTTGGCCCTCTGCTCCCAAAGGCGAGTCTCAGTGGCCAACTGTGGGTTGGTAGTGGGTTTGGGCAGGGAGGGTTGGTAGCCGGGGTGGAGGGGGAACTAGGATGCTCCGATATTCCTGGGTGGGGAGAGGGCGAGAGCCATTACAAGCATGGCAAGTCTACTTCAAGCGGAGAGAAGCCGTACGGAAACTCGGGCTCGGGTCCCGGGAGCGGCGCCACTCCTCAAAACCGCCGGCTATCAGATTCCAAACAAGAGTACGACTCGCAGGAGATTGAAGATGACGACGTTTCTCCCCCGCCAACGAATGATGGGACAGACGACCACCTTCACCACCCTCTTCGCGAGTCCAGCATGGTGGATGTTGGTACCGAAAGGTCCATGGAATCATCTCGATCCACAACACATGCAGATGTCCAGTCCTTGCAGGAAAGTGCGGAAATCGCAGGAAAGGTTGTCTTGCTGAGTAGGGGTGGCTGCGGCTTTTTGGAGAAGGTGAAGTGGGCTCAACGACGAGGAGGTGTCGCTGTGATTGTTGGCGATGATACCAGGGGTGGGAGCTTGGTTACAATGTACGCGCGTGGTGACACATCCAATGTGACGATTCCTGCCCTGTTTACTTCTCATACGACTGCCCACCTTTTGTCCTCCCTCATTCCTCCGCAATACGCGAACCAAGCAAACCGGGCGAAGGAATCGAAGGCTTCCCGCACCAGGCCTTCCACTCACAGCACCTCGAGTACGCAAGTTGCGGATTCCATGACGACCCCATCTTCCTATCCAACTCCATCGTCGATTGGCCCCTCTGCGGCTGTGCCATCTACTGTTTCACAGAAGCCCAAAGCCGGGCTTTTCCACGGTCTTCTATCTCTGGTCGGCCTGGGCAGTAGCAAGGGCCATTCGACCGAGGACAGTCGGCGTCCACCTAGCAGTGGAAACATTGACTGGGTTGTGATGGACTCTTGGGACCAGCTGGGTCCGTCTGATGACTACAGTGGAAATGGGCGGACAAAACCTAAGGATTGGAGCTCCTCAAGCTACGCTGATGGTGATGGATTTGTCATTGGAGTCCATGACTGGCGTGATCCAGACCAAGCGCCTGCAAGGCATCTCCTTGATCCAAGCACGACCGCCGTGAAAGAGACAACAAGAACCAAAGTATCAGCAACTACTTCCACTGGTCTTAACGGTGGCCGTGCGACTCCTGGAAGTGGGGAGTATTCTAGTTCCGAGAAAAATGGTCATAGCAAGGACTGGAGTGCTGAAAGTTCTGGCTATCGGAGCGCCGCAGTGGATGCTAAACTTGGATCAAAGGCACCCACCAAAGGGTGGTTTTCGCGCCACTTTGGCCCGACAGGTGCCAGTGAGGGTGACTCGGATTCATCCCTCAACCAACGTGATCTCTTCTCTCGCAGCAAGAATTCCCACGGTGCAAAGTCGGAAGACCATGAGGGTCTGTGGGTCACTTTAACACCAACGAGCATGTCGACGAGCCCGTTTTTCGATACCCTCCTTGTTCTAGTTGTCAGTCCGTTGCTCACTCTATCGGTCGTTTACGCGCTGCTGTTGATTCGATCCCGCATTCGACGGCGGCGTTGGCGAGCCCCCAAGTCTATCGTGGATCGCCTCCCCGTTAGGACGTACCACACAATCTCAACGCCATCCTCTGTCCCAAGCTCACCTCGGCCATCGATTCTCGATATCGATTCATCGGCCACTCCGCTCCTGTCGCCCGAACTCCGTTCTGAAAGTTCACCTCCTAGACCACGGTCTGGACCGGAAAAGCCACGATCGAGTCCTTCTCGTCTATGGCGGCGTAAGTACACGGGACGGCAGGTGGAATGCGTTGTTTGCCTTGAAGAGTATATAGATGGACAAAGCAGAGTCATGAGTCTTCCCTGCGGGCATGAATTCCATGCTGAGTGCATGTAAGTTGCTGCCCATTGGGTGATTATTCTGTCTATGAACTTTACTAACAATATGTTTAGCACACCATGGCTCACAACGCGTCGAAGGACCTGTCCAATTTGCAAAGGCGATGTTGTTCGGTCGATGTCTCAATCTAATGCCAGCGATGAGTCTCATGAACTTCACGATGCTGGTCAAGTAGAGGCACAGTCTACGTCCGTTCCAGTGGTCATCTCGAATACCAGCGAAAATGAGATGTCCGACACTGAGCATCATGTGGACGACGAGACAGGTCTTCTGCGAGAACACTCGTCTGCTCCAGCCTCGGGATGGAGGAACTTTGCATCCCTAAGCTTGTCCGCCCTCAATGGCGAACCAGCCTGGCACCGGTCTCGTCCTGACCGGAACCGATAAAATTCATTGCAGCACTTTCATTACTCCTCTCTTTCCTCTTTTCTTTTCTTCCTCCTTTCCTTTTCTTCACCTTTTCTTTTTGTAACGTACTACATTAGCGCTTGGTTTGATATTTAGTGTGCGGCGTTGGATGGTATCCGGAGTACGGGCGAGACAGTTATGAAATGCGGCTGGAAAAAACCGCAAGTTTGTCCACAAAAATTCTCTAGTCTCCATCGCGAAGCAATGAGCATCTCGTAGTTAGTGTAATGGTAAACAGATTACCGTGTGGTAATACCTACGGGTATGTATTCGTATCGAGACTACAAATCGGGCATTGATATGCAGTGCGGTCCAAAATGACGTGGCTCCACACCGAGCTTATCTCAACCTGTGCCGATTCGACTCTCTTTTCGTGCTCCCAAGAGATCCCGGACCCAGGGCCTGATCATATTCCGCCCACGATGGACACCATTAAATCCGTCCTTATCGACGAGACTGTAAGTCTCTTCACCTCCGCAGGAGATGTAGCTCGTTCAGGGGCCTACATCTACCCTCTCAAGGTATATCCCACCCCAACCCCCAAGCACAAGACCAAAGTCCTTTAACAGAATCAAAAACACAGGGAATCTTCCACCTTACCAACACAAAGCCCCTTTGGCGCCCACCTCTCTCCAAAGCCTACCCAACTGCAACTCTCGGCATGGGAGTAACCTCGGCCATGTTCTTCTTCACCTACATCCCGCAAGTCGCCATCATGAGCATCACCAGCGGGCCCCTGCTCGCACCCATCACAACCGCGTTCCTGGTTCTAACCGAATCCTCCACGATCACAAACTACCTCGCCCGCGCGTTCCTCCTCAAGGACGCACTGATTGACACCTTCGACGGAACACTGCTGAGCGAGGGACACGAGAAACTGGTCGCTAACGGCCGGCAGCTCCACACAACCGGCGACGCGGTCTCTCGTCTCGGCGATGTGATCGATCCCGAACACGTGGAGAAACGGGAGCGGGAGAAAATCACGATTGCGAGTTTGATCAAGGCATGTGCGTATCTGCCGTTAAATTTTATTCCGGTTGTCGGGACGGTGCTTTATGTGTTTGTGCATGGGAAGAAGATGGGGCCGGAGCTGCATGAGAGGTATTTTCGGTTAAAGGGGTGGGATGCAAGGAAGGTTAAGGAATGGGTTGAGAAGCATCGGGGGGGTTATACGGGGTGAGTTTTTTTTTTTTTTTTTTCCCTTTTTGCGGTTTATTTATTGGATGGGGTGGTTGGGTGCTAACAGGTGGTATGATGGTAGACTTGGTATGGCGGCTTTCGTGCTGGAGATGATACCCTTTGCTTCGATTGCGTGCTCGTTTACGAATACCGTGGGTGCGGCTTTGTGGGCGGCAGATATTGAGAAGGTGGTTCGGTAGTTTTCTTTCTTTCTGCGTCCGAATGAGGTGTATGTGCTATGTGGTATGATTAATGATTCATGTGGACTACATCGACTGTGCTTATCCTTCTAATTTACTAAGGAGGAAATACAATAGTGTTCGACTGACCTACGTTTACGAGTTCATGAGGTTAGGGCTATACATTGATTCACACTAGGTAAACAAGAGAAGATGCTTATTGAAGTTCACGAAGTCAAAGTTTGCTGTGTACACAGTAATTCACAACTATACCTGGCCATCTGCAACAAAACCACCGGTCCACTCTCCACCAGGCTGTTTATTCCAACTCACAGCTCCGAACTTGGGTGCACAGAGGATATTCATGCTAAAGCTGTCCAGCTGCGGCAAAGTCTCGGATAAAGATGCCATGTCCGCCGCAGTGGGAAAAACTTCATGGAAAGCAGAAAGCGAGGATTCCTGGTCATTGTCAGTACGATCACCAATGGTATTACGAGAGGTAGAGCTGACCCCAATGAATTCCTCCGGAACGCCCACGAGCTCCACCGTTTCCAAAGCGGGACTAGCAGATCGTATTGTATTCAGGATAGACTTTTTGGCGGGCTCATTTTTCCCTACAATGACGCTGGCATTCAAGACAGCCAGGTGTGTTTGGTGACCGAGTATCCTAGAAAGTTCGTCCAGCGTCAAAGTGTAGAGTGTGGAGTCGAGCATTTTTAGGGCTTGCGGGCCAGGGATTGGTGGGCCCTCGGTTTCTCCCTCAGGGGTTTCCAGAGTAGGCGTGAGCTTCTCGACCAGCAGTGCTGTCCCTGGATGTGTTGAGGGGAAGGGAATGATGCCTTGCGGTTTCTGCCCGGGGATAGGGTTTCCCTCCGCATCCACATCTGCTGGATCATATGGAAGTCCGTTAGAGAACCCACTCGCAGCCTGATCCAGCGGCGGAGGAGACAACCTCAACGACACCGCAATCAACGACGGAACCAGCATCAACGGAATCTCATCACCGTGAACACGCGACAAAAAACCCGGATCTGAGTGCCCGCGATACGTATACGACACCTCAAGCAGAAGCATCGCCGAAGCTGCCTCGCCATCCAAGTACAAATCCTCCAGCGTCTCTCCAACACCAGCATAAAACCCCTTTCTGCAGAAAGCGTCGAGGAGATGTAGTTCTCTTAATCCGCCGCCGTTGTTCCCGTTGCCCACTAGGGTGTTGAAGATGAATTCTCCTGCATCTTTGCGCGAAGCATCGCTGATGCCGTCGATGAGGTGGGAATATAATGTCAGTGCTTTGAGATTTGGGAGGGACTGGGCTAGGTTTGTTAGGAAGGATGCTGGGTAGCCTAGAGAGAAGAGTTCTAGGGTAAGCGATTCGATCCCCTCGGGGATGGATTTCGAGATCGCGTCTGAGGACGCAGTCGACGCGAGGAGGTCTGAGTACTCCGACTGCTTGATATCAGACGTCAAAGTCAACTCTTTGAGATGCGCCGCTTCAGGAGGAAAGTTCGGTAACTGGAACGTCCGTAGAGGGATCTGCGCGGCGTTGGGGAGGGGCCGCTTCAGCGGTTTTGGTGTCTGGAGCGGATCAACGCTTTGTCTGGGGTCTATTTCGGTCATTTTGTCTTTGTTTCACTAAATTCAAGGATAGGACTATCATAGAATGTTTGTCGCTGTCAGCACGGGCAGCAATCCAGCGTGTTATATATATACATTGTGTCACGGGATGTGCGGGGAAGCCCCCATGATTTAATGGACGAAGCGGAGAGGCTGGAAGAAGTTTCGGTCTTGTTTACAGTAAGCACGGAGGGGGGATTAGGCAGTGTAGCGGTTATATTTGCATTGTGAGAGGGGAGAGGGGGAATAGTTGATCACATGACTTTATAGTAGAGCATTAACTGGGTTTCCTAATATGGTAGTCTGAGCAGGGGGACAACACCGCGTCGGTTAGTTTTCTTTTGTTGCCGCGACCTCTCCTCACTCACTGCTCCCCATTTACTTGCTCCGTTTATAAACATGGGGTGATATGCAATGAAATGGCTTTTTTTTATTTTATTTTTTTCCTTTTCTGTTTTTCCTATTGAGCACATACCTAATATGGAGCGCCTTGGCAATGAACGCCTCGAGACCGAAATAGCTCGCATTTGAGATAACGTCAAAGCATCGGAAGCTCGTGGAGTATCTGTCTCTTCAGCCGAATATCTAGCTCAGCCAGGTGATTCCAACAGTAAGGCCGCACTAGGTAGACGCGAACACGATATGGCCATTGCAAAGAAAACCATTTCCCGCAGATGAGGCGAGCAAAATGCCTCTAAACTGTGGCCCTACGTGACTAGTTACAGTATGGTTTGTGAAATGCGCACTGCCACAAACACGGGAATCTCGTTTGAGAAAGCATTTGATCGGGTCCTTCTTGATTGGGTGGTTGAAGATCAGCAAATGCCCGTTGTCAATTCTGCAACTCCATCTCAGAACTACCAGTTTATTCTAGAGACTTTTCGGGACAAACGAGACAGCAGTAAGACTCATACACCTTCATCGCTGAATATACTAGTGAATCTGCTGACGAGGATCCTGATGGAGAGAACGAAGTAGAATCATACCAAGAAGATGGCGAAAAAGATGCAGATTTAGATGCACAAGAAGACGAGGTCTCGCACAAGGTTTTCCCGTGCATAATTTTCAGATTGTTGAAGGAGAGTGTTCGGTCGTGAACGGTCAGTTTCATGTTGTCTTTGGCAATGAGAGCCATGCGGCACTAGTTTATCACAAGATGGAGCCGAGGAAGCTGCCAAACCAATTCTGCGTGATTTGTTTTCCCTGCCTACCGATTGAGATGACCTCTTTTCCTTTTTCTTATTGATTTCCTCTTGACATTTTCTGGTTTACTTCTGGCTTTATTTTCTTGGTCATTTTTAACTACCCTTGATGTTACAGTAAGCACTGCAAATGTTATATAGTATTGGTCTAGCGTAGTTATATACGCATCTTTCTTAGGATTGGAGTTTGTAATTTGGGGGCTTGGAGATTAAAGCCATCTCTCAATGAATATATTGCATTATATGGCCTTGAGTTGGCTAAGTTGTGCAACTTGCATTATTCTAAAAACCCATCTTCCCAGATTAGGTTATTTATCGTCTACTCCGTATAGTTATTGGTTTCTGGATATTATCAGACATCTGTTTTTCCCGAGCAAGTCAGAACATTAGCTTTCCATTGCGCACCAACCTGTGCCCTGCATAATGCAGGATAACATAAGAGGATTTGTCCAAATCAAAACAAATGTTTCATATAACACAATCTCCAGTTCCCACTGGTGGAAGCTGTCCCTGGCAAACCGCCCTGGGGATGCTGATGCCCCAACAAGAGTATCTCACTCTATGGCTTTTCATGACTTTTCCGCAGGCCGTGTTACAGGCACTTCAACAGATAATGAGAAACCGAGGACTTTGGTTTTTATATTATGCCGAAGGATCCGCCGTTCATAGAATTGATCTTGCTTCACACAACATAGGAAGCAAGATATGTAAACGGCCAATGCGTTCCGCGTAATGTAGATGTAAGAAGAACGGATAGTGGAGTGGCATGACGCTCAGAGCTACTTATATATGTGGCGAATGCGTCGATAATATAGACCAGGTTATTCCCCTCCGCTGTTATGGCTGTTAGGAGCCCTCGCACCAGAGTACCAAGAGAAAGCCGGAATACTGGATCTAGATATGGCCCTCGTGGAGAATAGGGACGGATTTGTTTCTCACGCGGGGTCCTATTACCACTTCATCAATGGGGTGGAATATACGGTTATATTCAACTATGTAAAATGCACCAGGAGTCAAAGTCCGAGCATGCGTGAGAGATGCCCAGTGCTGGATAACGTTCGCTCCATGGCCGACGCAATTGAGGTTTTTGCAAGCATAGCACAAAAAGAGGATATCATGGTCTAAATCGTACAAAATGATTTAAACTGAACATGGTCTAGGTAGTGCCAAATAAACAACTCAAATTCAAATTCAAACAGACGGATTCCTCCAAAGCATGCGAGATTTCGGAGCTAGGTGACGCGGAAGAGGAAGACATTGAAATTGCCTGACCATTGTTGTTATTCTCGTGATGCAGAACTTGTTAGGCTGCCTGGTTGAAATATGAGTGAAAATGCGTTTACATGATAACGCAAGTACCGTCCTTAAGACCTGTCATACGTATTAGCATCTATTCAGAGTATTTGGGATGTATTTAAGAGAACTTACCCTTAAGAGCGTCAGGTATATCAGCGGGAGCCATTTTGATGGTAGTGATGCGGTTGACAGCTTGAGATTGTAATAGAGTGGTTTTCTGGGGAATGGTTTTGATTGGAAAGGAGGTTTGAGGGGAATTAAGGAGGTTTTTATGTCTTCGTCGGAGGTCTCATAATGCATCACGAGAAAGAGAAACTTGCCATTCTCGAAGAGTGAGAATATATTAAGAACAATGTTAAGAGAAGGTAGCGAGGAAGTATTCATTGTTGGTTTGTCGGGGGTTATAGTATTATATTCAACTAAGCCTACTGATAATTAGCTTTAAATTAAACATATCTCCAACTGGCTTTGTATCGGAACTCTTCTTTGTTAAGTATACTTGTACTACACACAGTTAGGGCATTTATTCAAAGAAAGCGGTCCGCACTCACAATATCAAGCGGAACGTATTGTTCCGAACTGAATGCGGCAATCTGGGACTGTTTACTCCCAAAGTATTAGCATATATGTCAAATTTTCAAGTCTAATATAAAGTAGCTCATCATACTCTTCAGAAATATCTAAGGTTGGGATGTGGTCTACCTCAGCTAGTTCCGGAACAACATACACCGTCCCGTGGCATCGCATGTCCAGCTGAAGGAAACTCGGTGGTGAACCAAATGGAACTCGAGGTGGCGCATACCCGTCCGAAATGGGGTTAATGGACGAAAAGAGGAAAGAAATTTATCTTAGGCGAATTTGTATTACACAAGATGTTTCTCGTAGACTGGTAGCCCTTTGTCAAGCAGGCAAACGTTTCATGAATGGTGTTTCCAGCCAAGATCCAGCCTAGCCGTTTGAGCACTAATGTCCTGAAGCTGGGAACTGAGAGAAGAAACGACAATACGGAGAAGTTAGAGCCAACTCAACGTCATGGCAACGAAAAAACCCACAAAGGATTGTCACTGTTCCAGATACCTTGACAGTTTACGCATTTTAGCCTATGCAAAATGAGCCCAAGATGCGTTAGCAGTTCATGAGATCCATACTAAAACTAGGCTAGCTACTAGACTTCTTCCAGTCAAAGTTTACGGATCAAATATTCGCTTCAGACCCTAGTCTATTCATCATACCCGCTGATCTGCTCTAAAAAAAAGTTATATTAAACAGAGCCGAGCTCGCGCGGTTGAGCTTGACCCTCAGCCTGAGAACTGAAAACAAGTTAACACCTCTCAGGCGCGCAACTCGAGCCATAGTCAGAAAAGCGGTTGACGATGATCACAATGACGAGGACGACATACTCGAAAAATTCGCTGAGACTCCATACAATGGCTCGCTTCCAATCTGAAGACAACATAACGGGAAGTGTGAATTATGTGAACCACTTCTACCTCGCAAGAGTAAACATACGGCCACATTAGATCTATCTTGGTACAAAAAAACCCCTAGCAGCACATCAAAGCCCTGCTCACTACCAGAGGGAGGCTGATGAACTCTTAACGCATTCACTGTGCAAAACACGGCTTAGACCATAATAGACTGGACATTAATAGCTGTTTCGGTGGCATTAAAGCCGACCTAGATTTACCTCATCATTGACCAAATTGTCACAGTAGGGACTCGGAATTCCTTTGTTGAAGCGTTCGAAAATGCCCCAACACTCGCAAAGCCAGCCTATCCAGCATAGTATGGCTTCAGCTTCTATACGCTGCGCAAGCGCTTGCATGGGATTGATAATCTGGTATAACACAAAGTGTTCATGAACATCCCAAAATTATTGAATTCTACCATCCTACAAACAGGACACCGGAGCGCCGGGGACTACAGTTGTTCACTGCTTGCTACGGGTTGTTTAGAGCTATGTCGGTTTCAAGTTTTCGTCACTTTACTGAGCGACTTCGGTTTTGCTTCGTATGTAACCCATGAGATTGTTCGGTAGTCGCGTAGTGTGCCGTTCTGTGTTAGTTCGTAGCATATTGCATCCAGAGAAGATCGCTGTTGGTAAATACATCGGCTCTGTGCCAGCCCTTTAAGTTTCTGCAATCGGGATGGCAGAAATGGAATTCATAAGAATATATATAGGCACATAGACACCGCGCATAGATAGCCGATGATCTATAATACACCACGATAAATAATCAGATAATCTACAGATGCAGACTCAGGCAAACAATAAGAATACCTCCTAGAGCACATTAATACTCTGTATGCATGTGCATCGCGACCATAAGACACCGGTATTCCGAAGCAAGAACGAAAACAGCAAGTCTGAATTACTCCAAAGTCGACTCTGGAATATATGTAACCTCCACCGACTTCATCTCAGGAACACATTCCCAGCTACAACCCAGCCTCTTGAACGGCAATGGCCGCAGTTTCTCGCCCGACGCGCGAGGTCCCTTGAGTCCGTTCTCGTACGTGCTGCAATCCCACCACTCGATCCATTCAGTTCGCGGAAGTACGAAGTTTCGATGGCAGATTGAGCAGCATCGGCCCCCTGCAGCTCTGACTTCTCTACCGTACCGGAGTAACCGGAGCATCAGCTCTGGTAGGTCTGCTATGTCGGAGTCGGGGGTTAGGTCGAAGAAGTTGGATTTGTTGAGGGAGACGAGGGAGACTTCGCGGAGGGATGGGACGTTGGAATTGAATTCGTTGGAAGTTGTGTTTGATTGTGCCTCTGGTATGGGGTAGCCGTCTGTGTTGAAGCGGCGGATTGGTCCCGTGGCGATGTGGATGGGAGCCCATGCTTCCTCAGGGACTGGTGATTCGTACTCTTGTAATCTTAGAGGTTTGTCTAATGACACTGGTGTGGTAGTATTAGGGTAATGCCAGTGAGCGATCTCCGCCTCGTCAATCTGCATAAGAGGATTAGGCCGGACAATCAGATGCTTTAAATCGCCCTTCCTGATTAACCACAGGAACTCCCAGGGGAGATATTCCAGTCTGTTAACCGAGAGATTGACGTCTTGCAGCGATGTCAGTCTGCGAATTGCCGGTGGGACTTCAGTCAGTTTGTTATTTCGCAAACTGAGGACCTTCAGCGAGGTCAGGTCAAAGAGTTCGCTCGAGAGTTTAAACAGAGAATTCCCGGCCAGGAAGAGCCGGAGGAATGGTTCTAATGAAGAATAGACGTCCTCGGTGACCGGGGGTTCTCGTACGGCAGGCAATTTTGTGAGGTGTTGTAGGGGCCCTAGCAGATTAGAAGGGATTTCCCTCATGTTGCCAATGCTGTCGAGATATCAGCCTCATTCTTTATCGGGTTTGCTGCTGGGCTGTTCTCACCTTAGATCCACGCTGTCCTGGCCTTTCTCCAGACAGTCGTTTACAATCGCTCTGGCCAACTGATGCTCCTGCGACTCGAACACTCTCCTAAACGCCACGCGAGGCTGGGTCACAACCTGCGGCTGCGGTTTTGATATCGGACCTCGATCCATCCCGAGAGCAGACTCCGGACCTGGAGCTGCAAATGCAAAAGGCACAGCGTCTTCGTCCTGTTCTTTCTTAGGCACTCTTGGGTTCGAATTTCGCACATTCTTAAAGAACTCTTCGGAGATAGGCGCATCTTCCGACGGTAAAAGCGATTCCGCGAACGACTCATCACTCCCCATCCACACACCACTGTCTACAAACCGCTTATCCTTGAAGTCCTTTCGTTTCCGCTTCGGATCCAGCACTGTTTCACCCCACCACGTACCACGGTATCGCCTCTTTCTCCCCGTGTTTCCATGAGCAGGCGCATGGTAATTCTCTAGACCAGATGCGGGAATATCATCGCTGGAGAAAAGGGCTGGGTCACTAGATGGTTGGCTGGAGCGATCGTCGAAGCGCGACGGGCGATGCGACTTTCTTCTCCGGGGTGGCAGGGGGAGGGGGATCTCGTTCTCCATGACTTATATTTGTAATTCGGTCGTATGCGACGAACCGAATTGGTATGCGATGAGGTAAAGAGTGTAATGGATATAAGGCGCCAGTCGCGTGGGTAGTTTCGGAGTGGCACGCGTTGGGTGGGGTTGATGAAGGAATGAGAAAGAGAGCACGGGATCAGCTCCAATGGATGTAATTCCTCCAGAAAGATAGACTGTCCATTGAGGGAGGAAAAGGAGGTAAATTGTGGTTCTTATCAGACTAAGAACACTCGGAGCGCGTGGTGTCCGAACTATGGCCAATCGTCTGATGATCGCGACGATGAGGTCAACTGTTTACCCGAAGCGGACCAACGCGTGCATGGAGCCAATCAGCTTCGCGGGTGATTGATAAGAGTATGAGATTACTGAAGGTCTATAAACATAAACATAGCACGAGGAATAGACATAAACAGATTCTATAGAAAACAAACGAAATTCTTGTAGAAAAGAACGGCGACGCATGGATATCCGAGAAAAATCAAAGGGGGTATGTATATCCAAGACATCATCCAAGAAACCTAACTCTAGCAAGAGCTGATCCGAAATAACAGACAATTAGGAAAAGGAGGGCAAAATTCATGACACTGAAATCGCTGGTGATGCACCAAGACGTCTCCTTCATGGCCGGTGTATGATGAATGGCTCAGCGTCGCAACCAAGTCGTCATAGCCGTTCAAATCGACCATCTCTGAATTGCACCGTCGCATTATCGCCATATGGAGCCCAAAACAAGCGCAAATGACCCCACAACAAGTCCCAATGATACATCAACATTCCTCGTGCTCGCCGCTTCACTGGCATCATCGGACGCATGGGCTGTCGCAGCAGTTGCTATCAAATTAACTGGACTCCCAGAATTCGTGGCCGTCATTGTGCGCAGACTCGAGGAAGATGCGCTGCTAGAGGCGCTAGATGAGCTAGGAGTGGTGGACGTGGCGGATGTGCTTGATGGAGTTGCGATTGAAGTGGAAGGCGAGGAGGTCGAATCGGTTGTGGACGTGGCTTGGTTCGCATAAATCACCGTTACCGTGGTTGTCGCCGTTGGTGAAGGCACTTCAGTCTCTGCGACAGCGAGCGACGTCGCAGAGAGGAAGAAGAGCGATGCAATCGCATTGGCTTTCATTGCGTTCGTCTCTGGAGATGCCACGTGCGAGATGGACTCGATGGAGCGCTCTTCAGCAAAGTACACATCAGATGAAGATGAGCAGGGAAAAACCCAGATGCGAGACCCAGGAGTGTTTGTCCAACCCAGGGGAGTCCCAATCTAGGGTGCGACACTGACGGTTTCACCACGACATTTCAGGAGGACGGTGGTTTGCATAATTTCCAGGCTAGTCTGTAAACAGGTAGCAAATAAAACAGGGCTAATATAACTATATTAAAAGCCATATTGAAGACCCTCGTTGCGATTCGTCGTCCACATAGGAAAGAATAAAAGGTGCCATGACAGCTAGAGTGAAGGGCGTTAAATATAACGAGCGATCTATGAGAAGAAAACAAACAATTATGCAGGCGCATGGAAAATTTCGAAACGAGCTAGCGGAGGACTGAATTCTTATACCGCCGTTCTTCTTGAGGATTTAGGCCAAGATAGACTGCAGAGGCCAGAAGAATGCAGAAGTATAGTGACACACTGTCAATTCTAGATTGCATAACAGCTAAATAGATCATTTGTTTTTGTCATTGTACCACGACCTCGTGACATGCATCAATGCGCCTTGCGGGAGTGATGGTGAGAGTGGCTGTCGATTCGCCTTGCTTCTTATTCTAGATGAATGACGGATTTCTGCAGTGCTAAATGGCCAGTGCACGACATTCAATCTCCGCTGACGCAGGTCATCTCCGATCTTCGATAGTCAAGGGAGAAGGGGGTGATTTCTTAGAAGCATGGGTGTCCTGCAGGGGTTGTAATGCAGGCCCTGTCGCACTAGCTGACTTCTCAAGCCTCCTTAATTGCTATCACGTAGTAGTCAAAATACGGAATGGCGTAGACATATCAAACAAACATCAACCTGGTTGTAACGCCGAAATGGTATACTATCGCTGGTTCAACCGACATCTCCTTGCCACCAGTTCAAGCTCCTATATGTACATAGTGCGGAGATTCTCCCTTGTTCCTCCACAGCCATCCGTGCGGCCTTGGCTACCCTCATATCATAACCACCGAAATCTCGAAGTATAAATAATATCGTACATGTTTTGTTTAGTTGGTCGTATCACGTATCCCTAACGGCTGTATGGCTCGTTTATTGGCGCACGGGGCGGAAAGCGCTCTGTCTGGGGAGCATCATCGGGGGGCCACGAGCGCGGAGCCAGGCATCGTTGTGAGGTCCGTCAGTACGGATAACGCTACCGATGGACATGAAGAGACTGTACATGGTGATATAGCTGTTAATAGTGTCCTTTCCCCAGAGATAATGTCATGCAGAGGCCACGCAAGGCACAGCAAAAACGTACCCGAAAGTCGCTCCAGATCCAAGCATGAACTTGCCCAGGGTCCGCATAACACCGTTAGGGCCTGCACCGTACTGGAAGATCGTCACGGTTCCTTTGATCCATCAGCGTTGAGAGCATCGTAGGGAGCAATGCATGGCAACTAACCGATAATGAACCCCATGATACCACCAACAGCTAGTAGTGGGTTAGTGAGAAATCAACGATAAATGGAACCCGGTGTCGACATACTCGAACCCATCATGGCGCCCATCTTCACTGTAGGTGGGTTAGCATATCTATGCGCGAAATCTTCCAATCTCATCCAAAGCAATTTCAATGAAAGTCTGCAGAACTCACTCTTGTCAAAAGTGGAGGGACCAGCTTGGGGTGGACCTGCGACGACGGGCATCTTGACAGAATGGAGGAGCAAGGAACCGGAGTGATCAATATGTATAGGTTAGGGATCAATAAGATCAAGCGCAATGAGAATAGCGAAGAGTTCGATCAACAACAGACCAAGTGCAAAGCTCCGACAGAATGACGGATTTAGACTCCATCCGAGGCCCCGCTAATGGCACGTGATACCGGCTGGAGCCGTTGGCCTTGGCTAAGCGCACGTGCCCTTCTCACGTGATTTGAGGCCTGAGGCGATAGGGAGCCTGAGAGCTGATCCTCCTCCCGCCTACCGCCAGTGGCCAGCCCGGGGGATTATTTTTTTTTTTGTTTGTCTCATGCTCGCTCTGTGATCCCTTCCTGCCTTCTCCTGGTTGGTGAGTTTGTTGGCCAGACGGTTGTTTCCCGTCTTGTGCTTTTGCTCTTTCCTTCCTTTTACCGGTCCTGTTCCGAGCGGTCGCACCTGGAGTTGGGGCCAAGAACGAACCTCACCCTCACAGTCTCTCCTTGGTTGAGAAAGCGCCTGTACAGTACACCACCACCTACCACGTTGGCAGCATCTTATTGTGTATGCTCTTACCTTGGACTTAATTGCGCGGGGTTGTCTATCGGTAAGTTGTCCCTGGTTTAACTTGCGAGACGAACAATCGCTAAAAGCTGACTCCTATCACAAGTGGCCGGATTCAAGGGTTATCGCGCGCAACGAGCCGCACTGTATACATCACTACGCAATTCCTTTTACGGACGACATTAATTCCCAGAAGACGATTAGACACGACCTCAGCGATTCGCACATCCGACACTCCATTTGCCGATCCCGTTTTAGTACTCGCGCCTATATGATAGGACGGGTTCACGCAAGCATATCAGCACTCTTCAACTAAACAATACCCCGTATCCATCTCCATGACTGCTGTGGCATCGCCGCCTAGTGTGCAATCGGGGCCTCGCTTGGGATGGTACAGCTCTGGTAACGGAGGACAAGGAGCCCTGTCTTCGATGGACACAGATGAGGTATCACGAGTTTTTATGCCACGGAAAAGCATTCAGAGATCAAACTCTTCTTCGTCGTTGAACTCCAATTCATCCACCTCGACCGTGGCGACCAACTCGCAGAATTCTGATTCGGGACAGAACACCAACATTGAATGGTCCTCGAAGAAAAAGTCATCGAGAAACATCTGGCCCAGCACCAAGTCCGAACCGGTTTCGGGAATAACAAACGCACGATCTCAAGTGGTTCCGGCATTTTCAGCCGGTTCTACAGCTTCTTCTACCATGTCCACAATCCATCAACCGTCCTCCATCGTTCCATCGCAACACATGCCCCAGACTCCCCAGCAAAATGGCGCCCGCGCGAATGGGCAGCCTTCTGGAGAACCACCTATCGTACTGTCACTTTTGCCACTCAACGGCACGTTCGATAAGAAACAGATCCACGTACCCTTCTTCCCAGATATGCTGAAGATCGGGCGGCAGACGAACGCCAAGACTGTCCCCACTGCGATGAACGGTTTCTTCGACTCCAAAGTTCTCTCCCGGTCGCATGCGGAAATTTGGGCAGACAAGAATGGTAAAATATGGATTCGAGATGTGAAATCATCCAATGGTACATTTGTCAATGGCAATCGGCTATCTCAAGAAAACCGCGAGTCAGATCCTCACGAGATCCGCGAGAATGATACTTTGGAGCTCGGGATTGACATAGTCAGCGAGGATCAAAAGACCGTTGTTCACCACAAGGTTTCCGCCAAAGTTGAACATGCGGGTGTCCTAACCAGCATCCCAAACATCCTAGACCTCACATTGGGAGACCTGGATCCTGCCTCGGGTAATGGAATGCTTCCATCTCCTCTCAGTCAGCCGCTTTCCCATTTTCGGGGCCGTTCTGGAAGTGCTATGAGCAACCGGAGCACACAAAGTTCTGCTAGCACTCAGCTTAATGCCTTACAGCAGCAACGACAGATGAATTATTGGAATTCCCCAGTATCCATCGAACAAGTTGTCAAAAGACTTACGGTATGATGTCCTATCCGTACTGGGACTAATTACATACTAATACGCTGAATAGAGCGAAATGAAACAAGCGAAACAACAAGCTCAGGACCTCCGTCAAACCGACGCTTTCTTGGGGACACTCATGAAGCCAAGTCAACCAGAGAAAGAAAAGGTCAAGCACTCAGAAAATCATCACCCTCGCCAGGTGAATGGACGGCCCAAGATGCCACGCGTCGATTCCTTCTCGAGGTTCTCTGACCCTCCTGCACCACCTCCTCAGCAACCACTGCCCGAAAAGCCGGATGCTTTGCCGCGCAATGGACCCGACGCAATTTCACCTCTCAAACGTTCCGACACAGAAAAAGCTAAGCTTGGAGCTGGCAACTCGCCGGTGACCCGAGACTCCAGCCAAATTCTTTCACTCATTGAAGCTTTGACTTCGACGAGAAGGGAGCTGGACTCGCAAGGTGCTCGCGTGAAGGAGCTGGAGAGCCTTTTACTTCATGAAAGGGCCGCTCGTGAGTCAGCGGAAGAAAGAGCCAAGAAGATGGAAACGCATACCACAACAGGGGTTGATTATTCGGATAGCACGGCTACGATTGAACCCTGTCATGGGGACACTCAGAATATCACGAATGGGCTACCGGTGGTGCTTGAGAAGTCTCTTGGTAAAGAGAATAGTTCTGCGTTTGATGATGAAACGAAGGCATCGGAGGATGGTCAAGCCAAGCAATTACAGCGCCGCTTAGAGGAAGTGATGAGCGAGATGGAAGAAATGCGGAGCCAGGTCGTGACACTTAAGGACCGTGCACATAAGGCTGAGAGTGAAACCGCAGAAACACGCAATTCGCTGGCGGAGATGATTGAAACATTGCGGCGTGAACGTGCAGAAAATGCCGACGGGGCAACCACAAAGCCCGAGTCTCTCTTGCCAGAGCTGACAGAATCTGCTCCCGGGATTAAGGAGTCGCCGACAACCTCCAAGGTCAAGGAACTCGAAACCTTTAAATCGCCAAAGACCAAAGAAATGCAAGACGGCAGCACTTCCTTTACTTCACAGCAGCAGAAACAAGCTGCTTTGGACCAGTCTAGTCCGTATGCGTCGATGCTTGGTGTTGTACTATTAGGGGTAGGCATTATGGCCTATCTGAATGGGTGGCAAAGGATGGACAGATGACTGTTCATTCTTGCGCTACCGTCCGTCAATGTCGGAGGTCAGTTATATTCTTTATGGATAGGTTTTTTTTTTTTTTTTTTCCATTCTACATAAGGTTGCAGCTCGTTCATTTTCTGCGCTGTCATTGTTTCATTTCTTTATGTACTCTGGTTGGAAGCTTTGATTCTCGCGTTTCTTTTCTTTTCTTTTCTTTTTTTTTTTTTTTTTTTTTTTTTTTTTTTTTTTCTCATTTTGGCATTACCTGCATTACTATTACCTGACCTTCCCTCTACACTTTCTCTTTGTCCTTGGTTACCTATATTGTCACTACCCAACCGACACCAGCTTGTTTCCAGTTACGACTTCCTGGCAGCAACGACCTCTCTTTCTTACTTTTCTATGTTAATGTTCCTCTTCTGACAGGCAAGGTCGTGTAGGCTGATCCGCCTTTGTGTATTAGTTTACTAGAAGCATCACTTTATTTGAAAATTTCTACGTCACGAATGGACAGTTTTATCGTTCTTGTATTTTATGACCTCGGGATTGGATGATTGGATATGATATTGATGATAATTGTCTAGTAAATTCTGAAAGATTTTATCATAAGATCTGTAGTCTTGACCTAGCTCCCGTGGCCTACCTCGTTCGATACCCACTGGTTGAATGCAGGCCCCAAAGCTCTTCGACTTGGTACCGCGATGGGTCCAGTATACTCGTAGAGAGCTGAATTGCTCAAAGATAACGATATTCGTAGGCACGTGTCGCTTTGAGCTAGCGATGCGATAGACTGAATGGAACCCGCACTGCCGTGGCCTCGTGGCGTGCGTTTACCAATGTCCGGTTCGGACTTCCGTCAACGAACCGCAGAAAATGAGGGGAAAGCATAGCTTAGCATATACGTAGACACCCTCATTTATAAGTCACCGCAATCTCAACAACATTAACCCACCGCGTCCTTGACTCAGGCAACTCCTCCGTCTCCGCCGCCGCAGCCCGTTTCCTCTTCTTCGCTGCAGACTTGGAACCAGCCGACTCAGTATCACCGCTCTCCTCCTCCTCCTTCTTCTTCTTCTTCTTCTCCTCCCCTTCCTTCTCAATCTTCTCCCCCTCCTCAACAACCTTCTTCCTTCCCTCCTCATCCTCAACCACATCATCCACAACAATCACACTCCCCGTCTTCACTCTCGTCACATACTCCCTCTCCCTCTCCCCAAACCACTTCCCAACCCTCATCGCTTTCTCCATCGCTCTCCCAGTAGCCTTAATAAAAATCTCCTCCTGCCCCGCCTCTTTCCGCATCTTCTCATGGCCCTCAGCCATCTGCGCGAGTTTCTGTCTATCAGTCTTGGTCTTATTGCTCAGGCTCAGATGCACGGATGCCATGGCACGCTTTTCGGTTTGATGGAGAAGTTTTTGGACGCGTTTTACGGCGCTCATGAAGGGTGTGCTGCTGGATATGTAGACGGTTTTGGGGGTGGAGGGGCCAGCGTAGGGGGAGGCGATTGGGGGGTGGGGGATGGGGCGTTTCTGGATACGGGCATCTGTTGGGTTTTTAGTATGTTAGCTGATTGGTTTTATGTAGGTCTGGGGATGTAAGATGGGTGGTGAGGGACTGACATTTTGGGAGCTTGACCATGTCCTGATTCTTTTTTTCAAATTGGAGGTCGCGCGTGAGAGGTCGTTTCGCCATGGTGCTCTGATTTTGATGGCCCGATGGTGCGCTTTATTAGAATATTATGGTGGTTTGGTTTTAAATTCAAGTAACGTAGATTAAAAAGTGTATAGCTTGATCTGTTTGATGTAGTACTTGCGCGCCGGCGATGCGATGAAAGATTGCGGGCGGTCGGCAGACCTTCCGTTTCTAGTTTCTCTCATTTCCAATCCGTTGGAGCCCTAGCATTTAGCCCTAGCACTGGGCCCATGCAAGTACAGAATTCACTTTGATTTTACTATGAAACAACACGGTATTTGCTGGGTCGTACAATATATCTAGTAGTTGATAGAATCGATAACAGTATAAGTACAGTAGTATACAGGAATACCCCCAAGATCCTCATAAGATCACACAGCTAGCCTATGAACCAAAAATCTTAGAACACAATTCGAACATTTCGTGTCGCTCTCAACCAACGAAATCTGGTCCGTAATCTCCCCCATAGGATCCTGAAGCATTCTAACAGTATACTCCATGCTGCCAGCCTAGTGAAGGTGCTCAAGAACACACTGCTTCGAGGGTACATCAGACCCGCCAGCACTCCGTGACAGTTGCAAAAGGGCACGGAGCCGGATATCCTCTAGCTGTAGTTTTAGGGCATGGATTAGTGGGAAGGAAAATTTGCTTTCATCGAGATCTTCGCAGAAGCCCTTTTGGTCAGTGTACTACTGCTCATGATGTTACTGGTTAGTATGTGTACCTGCCGTAAGGTGGAGCTAGACCTTACTGTTTCAATCAGTTCCTTGTAATCGCCGCATATTTGCAAGTGTTCACTGGATTTATCGTGAGGGATTCCAAGGAAATGTTTCTATACGAGGCATTGGTTATTTGATGGTGAGATATATAGCGAAGCTTGGTTACAGTACCGACAGCGCAAAGCCGAGATCTTCTGTATCGTTAACCGAGCAAGGAGGTGGGATAAACTACCGATCTCTGAATTAAAGTAGTCAGCATGCAGTGACTTGGATATGCAGAATACAAAAAGGCAAGGGAAGGGCACACTCTGGCGAATTGGAAGAAAGGGCATGTTTGGTTCTTCTAGGGAATTTGGTTGTCCTTGTTGAGGTTTGTAGTCATGACGCATGCTTTCGTAGTAGTAGCCATGTCCTGTCATGTGGCTACCAACAATGAGAGTATACAGTATACTTGGGACCTTGCTGCGTCCGATGTGCAAGTAGCCATTAGGTTCCGGAGGGAATCGAGTGGTAACGCTCTCTTCAGGCCGTTCGTGATCTCCATATATTCCTCATGAGAAAGGGCGCTTCCCATTCTGTGTCCAGTAAAAGTCGAAACTCTGGCCGGTGAAGGGATTCTGAATTTCTCCCAGGAAGATTTTCAATCATTGCTCGTCATCCAACTGTCGTGTCTAGTCCACCGCCTTGATTAGAAGAAACTTGACCGAGTTGATTTTCTGTCCTTGTCCGAACACCATGCGCCTTGATGGTTGGCTGTGACGGACAGGCGATGAAGCTCGCCACTTTATATTAAAATTCTTTTTCATATCCATCTGCCACTTGCTATAGTAGCCTTTTGGCCTCGGGTACATCGACTTTGTGCCACTGCATAAAAGCCATACGGCGTTTGTCGTGGTCGTCTTATCTGACAGCTAAAATCTCTCCCACTCAACATCGAAGGAGAAGTAGTCATTCGATAGGCCTAGGGCAAAATAACATTGTTTCACAATTGGGGCAATCATCTCATCTTCTTCGAGAGTTAACAGGATGCCCATACCGAAGCGCATTAACGTGTCGACGGATCTGGCCCTGTTAGCAATCTATTATTGTGGCAAAAGGGGAAAATATAAATACGGTATAGTCAATATAATGCTCCAAGTTCACAAAAGGCCGGGTTTTATCTGTTTTGCAGTTGTGGAGATCATGGGTTTCCAGACTTCGATGACGACTTCCACGCATGGTGCATCAATTGGAAGCAGCTCAAGAAGCATTTTTGATTGGATAATTCCGGTAATTGAATGTACCGTTCTGTATCCTGTCTCGTCGAGGGCGTGCGCGTTCAACGATCGCCATGTCAGATTATGCCCCTGCTTTTATCATGGGGATGAAATACGTACGGTGCATTTTGATACACATTCAACATTATCAGAGAAACACATCTGTAATATGTCAGCCTCAAGCAATACTCAATAGTTTTCATAATACAGGATATCTTACATTCAAAAACATAGCACAATGTAGCCAATCTCCCTGCTCTGCAAGAAGGGAGTGCCACAGCTCCGAATACGAAGTTTGATTCTCAGATATAAATATAGCACCTGCCATTGTTTGTCTAATAGGAAGGAAGGGTTCAATTGCTCTATGACACAAGAAGCCTAACAGAATATTTATAACCATCAACTTCAACATAAATCCAGTATACTTGTCACACCGCAATGAAGTCTTGAAATTTTTGTTATGTCATGCTAGCCCTGAAGAAGTATGACGTTGTATATAAAAATAAAAATAAAAAATGAAAAGAGAAATTAAAAGAAAAGAAAAGGAAATAGATACTAGGCCTCGCCGCTAATGCATGAAACTGGTTTTACAGCAGTTAATCACCTGATGCCATATCAAAGACTGTTATCAAATCTTACGGGCAAACTGCATGCACAATTAGCTAATGTGAGACCAAAGCAAGGAGCAGTTTATCAGCCCAGTTGGGGTATAGGCTTTCTTTTCCTCCATTAAGATCTTTTCTGTTTGTCTGTTTTCTTCAAACCCCAATCAACTTTATTGATTTGGCCTCTGGCATTCAAGACAAGAAATTAAAGTCACGCAGGGTGATACAATGGAGACACTCTGTGTAGACGACACGGCTGCGTTGGCTACCTTTGGCCAAATTTATACCGAGCAAGGTCTTTTACAGCGACCTTCTGGATTGAAAGAAGGGGATGTTAGTGATGGGATCAATGACAAGACAACTATTCTGTAAGGACCCTGCCTCGGGCCCAAAAGCAGTGGGGAAAGTATTGACACTAGCAGGCGATTCCTCCAGGCCCGAGAAATGAACTATGCCGATGCTCTTGAACAATTTCAAAAGGCGACCAAGTTCCATGCCGACAAGAGAGCACTTTCTCTGTATGACTTGATTAGTGTCGATGATTTTGAAGATACACGGAAGCTGGTCAGTCGCTTAAACTTTGAAAAGGGATGATGCACCGTTACTTAACTGATAAGCCTAGTATAGTATCCGCACTGGACAGGCCGTCGCGACAAGCGTGGCTTTCCAATTCTAATGATTGATGCAGCCCACCTAAACCATGCCGCGATGATTGAATGGCGAAAAACACGCACTATCACCCCATCATCTCCCGACGGGCCTGCACCAAGCGCTGACATGGCACAACGGGCATTAGTGTTTCATGATGGCTTAACACGGTTTATATTGCCTCTCTGTACGGCGATGACTGACCGACCGAACCCTTCGGTGCCTGTTATAAAATCCATCTATCTGGTCGATGCATCTTGTATCTCTCTGAAGCAGGCTTGGGACTTGAAAGACTTTGCGCAGGATGTCAGTTGGATTTTGGCAACCTGCTATCCAGAAACAATTGATCGCATCTTCGTGAGTGAATAAGATCGTACCAGTTGAACTCTATAGGGTTAACCAAACCAGGTCTGCAATGTCCCCTCATACCTCACAACAATATGGAACGTGTTCAAGAAATTCGTCGACCCGGTGACCGCCGAGAAGATCATATTTCTTAGGCCCAACGATGTCTCTCCCACGATAGAAAAGTATATTGATCCCGAGAACATTCCATCACAGCTCGGTGGCCACTTTACATTCACAAACGGCATGCTCCCCGACCTTGATGCTGGTATTCGCAAGGCCCTATACTGGACGGCACCGTCAGATTCCAGTAACACTTGCAGTTTGCCTCCGGGCCCGATCAAATGGGTTGAATATGAGGGAAGTAGACGCGCGGCTATGGCTACTGGGACTGTTGGTGGGCTACAAAGGGTGGAGAGGGTTGCCGTTCTTGGGTCATGAATACAATCCCCAATGATACAACCCCTACGTGTGATGGATGGCAAGAAAAATAAAAAGAAAAAGAACCCTGCCGTATTCTAATTCGCGCAGTCTACAGTTTGGCAAGCATGCGGGCTGCAAGAACGGATGAAACTATCCGTTCTTATAACCCGCATTCCACCAACCCAAACCTTTTGAATACCTTATAAATGGCCATGCAAAACCATGCAAGCCTTTTTCCCTTGGAAAGTAGATATATTTTACAGCGATTATTCTATCCCAATATGGAATCTGGGTCTTAGCGAGTACTAACTCTGTCAGTCTCTCGCATCAACCAACATTATTTGGGAAGTCTGACCGTATTCTCGAATAGTGAGTATCGCACGAGGAGCTGCTTTGACATGGCTACTATAGAGATGGAATGTACTAAGACGTATGCGTACGTTGCTTTTGACTTCAAGTAGCGCGCTGCGAATAACTATATGTTGAAGCACGAATTATCTCCTGGATATGCTTGGCCAAAGCAATCATTTGCCAGTCGTTTACTATAACTGTTCTAGACTTACTAAAATGCCCTCAAGTAACTGCCACTAGAGCTACACCCGCTCTTGTGAATAGGATTAGCGTTATCAACCGTCCCT